ATAATAATTCATAGCAAATAAGCTTTTATATGTCAAGTGGCCACTTGACGGAGTCGGAGCTGGAAACCACCAGCGCAAGCATTGGTGGCTCGAATCGCAATGATGAAGCATTATGCGGGCACCTGCATTCGCAACCGGAGGAGAAAGCCATAAACCAGAAAAAATATCAAAGCGATTCGAGCATGCTCAGGCGAACGTGAGTGAGAAGTTGCCTGAAAGCTTCAATAAGAGCTTAAGTTGACGTGAATGTATAACGAGGCGCAATACTGATCTTTCTGCCCCTTCAAAACGAATGTCACATAAACTCGTTATTTCTTTGTGTCAACGAAAAACGCTGACCACGAGGCAACGCGGTCCACACGGCGTGCAACCAGGCAGGCCGCGTAGGAAGGATCGGGCAGCGTCGACCAATATCGCAAACGTATGGTGGCGCTATGCAGTAAACCCTTCCGTGCACAAACTCTCCTTTCCGCACACCGAAAATTGCGTGCATGGTCATCGGATCGTGGCTAAAGAAATATTCCTGTTAAACATCTAACCATATTCACTGCTTTGTAATACGTTAATGCCGGTTAACGTTTAATGTTGCGAATATAACTAGCGTTATATACCGCTCATTTGGGTATTTCTGTAAACGATTGCCTAAGCAACAATGACATGTACCAAGATGTCGGAGCTTCTTCGGTCCAGCTTTTGAAAGCTAGATCCTGAACTAACTCCGAGCCCCCGGCGTTCTATCGATATGTGTGCACTCTAAAAAAAGAGCGAGTAAAAAGGGTGTTTTTTTGTCCAGCAACAATAATCGTCATCTATATTGCGTTCCATCCTTGCGCTATCGCCCGCGCCCGGTACATTCCGATAACGATCGACATGCCCATTATCAGGGTTACATTGCATTCTCGATAGGAAAGTGGCCAGCGCCGAGTTTTCAAGAAAGGAAGCGCACGAAAGCCTGATGACGATTATTGTTGTGGGACAAAAAGACACCCTTTTTACTCGATATTTTTTTTAGAGCGTGAAGCACGCCACATTTTGGATTTCAATTTGCATTATAGGCAAATGCACGTTACTCGTGTACGAAACCCACACTGCTCTCTTCTTAGCAGTTACTCCTGAATTTTTCGCTGTACCATTGATGACATTTATAGAAGGACAGAACGTTGAACTAGTCTGGTAGCAAAGCAAGTTCAGAAAAGACATTGCATAACTATTGAGATCGCCGAAGAAAAATGTGCTGTCCACGCGTGTCGGAGTATGCACGCTTAACGATTCCTAAATATGGATGGCGCCCGTTGAAAACGGTATCTGGGATAGTCTGTTTTACGCAACCATGACTAGAAAAAGCAGACAAACATCGCCCTTGAGATGCGCGGCAGCGCGCTTCGGGAGGAGTAGTGGTTGAAGCATATAGCATAAAATAACGCCATAAACGAAATAACCAAACGTATAAAAGTCCTCAAAGCGGCCATGAAGCAAATAAAGGCAGCAATGCTTGAATGTTCATGTCGAGAATATGAGCAAGCAAGCAAGCCCAAATAAGTTTCTTTCAAACATGATGAGTAGAATTTCGCTTTATGCCGTACGTGCTTCATATCCACACGCTACGAAACTTTTCCCTTTGTATTCATGTCGAAATGTTTCTTTATACTTTAATTCTTACTTGCATTCTCTACAATGAGCAATGTAATTATTTTTATAATCGACATGTTTTCACCGGTTTCGCTCCTGCTGTCAAATATGTAAGTCCGGGGTGAAGGCCTCATCACAAGACATACGGGTCTCCTTTTGCCATACCTCATGAACATGTTTCACACTGTGAATTGTGTATCTATGCCTGGTGTAGCGTGCCAGGCATGTTGCCAGACGCGGACAGATAACTTTTTAGCGGAGGTGGGTCTTCAGCGGAACCCGAAATATACCGCCAGATTTGCTCAAAGAGCGAATGACAAGGAGGTTCAAGAGGCATACAAGGCGCACACCGAAAGCTTACGTAATTAGAAGTAAATGACTGGTTCTTCGAACAAGGTTCGTGTCGCCTAATAAAACTGACTATTCTATTGCAAGCAACTTAATAACCAGATTCACATCATCTTACCTCAAATATAGCATTAACATTTGTTTCTTACGCAGGTATTGTAGAAGATATGCATGTTTTTGGTGCGCACTGTCACTGCAATATTTTTATAATTGATGGGTACCCGGCAGATACGGCATATTCAATGAATCTTTACACACCCTTTTTGTTAAAAATCCTCGTAAACTGGACTGGTGAAGTTAACCAGAATCAACCATTCATAGCACGTGTTATGCAATTCACACACAGTACAAGCGCTTTAGTGACCTCCATGCGTTGTTCACCGTTATCGGAGATGAGAAGAACTCAATTAAGTGTAAGCATCACTGAGGAGCCTAGTAATATAGTTTAACTTTAAGGAGGCTTCGAATTTCAGTTGGCAATTTAAGGCATAAAAGAAATAAAGGGCGGCATGCATTGGAACTTGTCCTACGAACACGGTTGACTACGATCTAGGATTAGGTGGTATGATATAATAAGGAAATATGTAGCTACAAATTTTGGCGAGACAGAAACATGAGAATCCTGCAGTTGTGTTCAGTTAGACTTATGCAGATATATAGGATCTCGGACAAACTTTCCGTGCAATAAAACCTTTATTAATACACACAGGTAGGCACGACGTACTGTCATTTACGCTGATACTCTTTTGTGAAAACGAAAACTCTCTTGAAGCACGCCTGAGTGAAAATTGGAATTTTGTCTGAACAAGATCCACACAAGCAAGTATTTTAAATTTTAAAGAGTTTTTTTCTTTTTTTCGATAAAACCTGTTGAATGTTAGGTAGTTTATTCAAAATACAACGCGACTAAATAACATCAAGAAAAGTTGCATAGTAAGCGACCAAGCAGCGCCATGTGAAGATTTTTCATTGACTCGCCATTTCAAATAAAGTATTCAACAGGCGCAGATGAAGAACATTGACCAAGCGCCGCATATAGTGGGACATACTACCCCACTACTATACCTTCTGGGCGACAAAGTCTTCCTGCTTCATTGCGTGTCCAACATCATAGCTTACAATTTGGAACGTTCTATTATCAACGCCCTCTGGCATTGCATAATATTGGTCAGGCCTAAAGCTGGATAGTTTTTTTCTGCAACAAAACCGCGCAGTCCTTCAACGACTCTGTTTGAAGTTTTGAAATAGCCACAGCGGAGATGCGGTAATCAGCATTGATGCCGAAGTCAACGTTCAAGATGAGCCAGTACGACACATCGAAGTTGCAAACGCGTATTCATCTTCCTCAGACATAACTAAATACGTGATGCGAACGACACAACCTTGTTGTAGCGTTCGCATCAAGTATGGGCTGCGTAGCGGTAAGCCCATGCTTACAGCATTGCTGTTATCGTTCGCAAAGCTGCTCGTATCGCAAGTACACATCACACCAAAAAACATTTGGGGGCAATCATCAGAATTCTTAAGCCTGGTTTCATTTTTGGTTATATTATATACCAGATAATGCGGGTTGCTCTTTACACCCAATAATATGCGCCAACCAAACAAAAAAGTAAGCATTTATAGGGCAGATCAAGATAGAGCTTAATTGCTTCTAGGGAAATAGTTCGCATAAACGTGAAAGCATACTCTAGAGATTTCAACGCAAACCTTTAGGACAGGCTGACTGTCCTGAATGACTTGTAAACTAAGACTGTATTACTTTTTCGCGCTGATTTTGTAACGAACCTTATACTTTGAACCGGCGCGATATCGGCGTACTGAAAAAAGTACTTGACATTTTAGCTGGAGTTCTAGAGCCTGACCGACGACGTATTTTCTTTCGCTCGCAGAAACTCCACACACCCTGTTCAAAATGTTTCCGTGTTGAGTGTATCGCGAAGCATTCCAATAGTATACCCTGCGCGCGATATATACGGCAGAGTTAATTCTTCGAACAGCTGTCGAAGAACTTCAGAAATGCAATGACGCATAAACTATCATTCACATTAACTTGTTATGTTCGTTTTGTATGCGAGTCACTGCTCCTCTGCGCACTCACATACTCGCTTGATATTCATTCGCCGAGAAAAAAAAATTATGAGTTATAATCACAAAGCGTAGTTCAACAAACCTTCAAGCAGTTTAATTCCTTTTTTTTTTTTGTAGACACCGAATGCGTACCATGTGTCTTTCTTTCTACGAGCACGTGGTCTCGTTCATCCTTGGCTTTTTTTTGCAAAATAGTGCACCCGCGCTTACAACTTTCTGCCTGAACGAGATATTTTAAAAAATAAACGCTCTGATCTTCATTAAACGCCGTGCTTCAGATACTTTTGAAAGCCAAACTGTATTGACGTCGTAACTGAATAATAAACGTATGCTCCGTAAGCACTAAAAGGAGAAGAAGTACATGTACGACTGCTCTATAATATATACACGGATCGTGGCTTAAATTCAATTGCATTAAATCCCACGAATATTCCCTAATCCCAGAGTTCTACGACGACATCGCCAAAGGATGTGCGAACGTAGCAACAGCGCGGGTTAGCTCGACTTCGAAAGACCTTCGAGCGCTGGGCGCTCGAAGCTCTTTCGAAGCGATGTCGCAAGCGGCGCCGTTCAGGCAGTTCCATCAAGTTACAAGTTAACGAGCCCCGAGAGCTCGCGTATGAACGGAGATCGCGGAGATCGGCGCGCGGGTCGATACACGGAGAAGATCGCAGCGGGCTTTAAACCGCGTCGGTGTTGAAATAAAGCGCGGATATAATACATCAGACAGTGCATTAGACCAAGTGAACATTGAAGTAACCTGACATGAAGTATTTTTTGAAGTTTCGATAATCGTGAGAGCAGTGGACATCGAGTGAACAGTGTCGCGCGAGGCGGCCCATTCGGGAATTCCCTAGGAGGACGGGGCACGCGACTACGGCGTGGGACCTCCTGCTCTGCGCCGAGCGGAGGAGAGCATTGAGATTCTTTACCGGGTGGCATGCTTCCATTCTCCGCGGCCAGTTTGAGCTCCTCGGGGTCGACTTCCTCGATGACGGTGCGTCCCATGGCCTCGTCGAGCGCCTGGGCCCGGCGCAGTGCCACTTGCTTGGCCATGACCACCTGTCGCTTGGCGATCAGCTTGCACCGGTCGCAGACGCAGTCTACGTACGGGCAGAAGCGCTTGTGGCCCCGCAGCAACACCATTTTGTTGTGGTTCTTGCAACGGGCGCAGTTCGGTGTGCGACCCGAAGGCGTATTGGTGGTCGCGGGAGCAGCAGCCGCCGCTGGCGGCGGAGTGGATCCGGCCGCGGCGGGCGCCGAGCCCGTCGAGCGCGCTGCCGCGGCGCCTCCGCTGCGTGGTTTGCTGGCGCCGTTGACAGAGCCACCATCGCCGCCACCCTTGCCGCCTTCCGGACTGTGAGCGATGATCAAGTTCAGCTCTTGCCGCACCATCACGGGCATTACAACGGCCGCCGCACAGCTGACTTGACTATACGCGACTGACTCGCCAGCCGATAACCAGCGGAACGTACGCGATCACGTGACGCCCTGGCTGCTGCCGCCGGCTGCTTCTGCTGCTGCTCCGCCGCGGCGCCCCCAAGTGCCCAGCGACGCCCTAACAGCGAAGGACGAGCGGCGCCGCGCGATTGCCACATCGCTGGCGCGGAGCTTTTTTTCCCCAGCGCGTTCCCCTTCCTAGGTGCCGCCCGCCGAACAGATGCGCGCTGGGGAGAATCCGCCCTGACAACTAGAGACCTCTCTGCCCCAGGTTTTCCGACACTTTCTCGCCACCTCTACCGTGCGCGAGGGAGTGCGGTACCGATTCAGCGGCAGAACCTTTTTCCGAATAGTCTTAATAAAGCAGAGGAGTATTTCAGCAGAACCTTTGCCTCGTGGAAACTCTGGTACTTGAAACACGAACACGTATATATATGACAAATATTAAAAAGATATAAGCATCTACAAAGCCGTTTATCTGTCAACTTTTTGGTCGGAGGCTGATCTTCCTGATGAAGGCTGGTTTGGAGATGCATGTGCAGGAGCACAGCGAAAGAACGGCACATCGCGCGTGTGCCAAATTTAATGCTTATGTGTACCATCATATACTTAATGACATAAGAAAGAGAGGTAGGTTTCAGGAAGGCAAATTGAGCAAAATATGAGGCATGGAAAACCTGCCCAGGACGTAAGACCTTGCTCAACGCTCCTTAAAAAAGTGGTCTAATAACCTGGCTGAGCCAGATTCCTCTCGCCTCTACCTTGTGCACACCGAAAACAAACACATGCTTATGCCACGTGTGAGATGTTTAATGAAAGTTATATGAAGAGTGAGGCAATAACGAAAAAAATTGCCTATTCAAGAGTTGTTACGCCGTAAGACAGCTCATTACGCTAATAGAGTCAATAGCTTCCCCTCAGCATGCGACTATTAGCTTAACTTTGATACTTGTGAATCGTTACCGCATAGTTTTTATGACGTCGGGCGGCCTCCAAGCTGCCTCTGGTAATGATCGGCGGCCATATATTCGGCGCGGGGGCTGCTGCCGCAGTTGCCATTTTTCATTCTGACAAGCGATCGACAACGGGTTACAAAGTGCTTCGTGTATTGTGTCTGCCGTTCGAAGCGATGCTGTTGCTCGCCCCCCCCCCCCCCCCCCTCCAATTTTGTGAAGATGTCAATGCTGTTGCGGCGAGTGAGCCGATTAACAAAGGCGACGCGCAAAGTATAATTAAAGAAACCTATTAGGATACGTGCGAAATAATACGCCCGGAATTCACCTCATACGAGGCGTTTTCATGGCCTTACAGTTTTTCTCCCGCAATCGAATTCGTCTTTCAGCTGTTACAAAATAACGAAATAAGCATCGCAAGCTTACATATATGTATTTGAAAACAGTTGGAATAGTAACACACTGTTAGGTGTGTAACATGACTTAAAATTCGACAAAAAGTATACTTGTTTGCTTACGTCATCGCAGTATAGAGGGTATGTAAGTTTAATTCCGGCACATGTTTTTGGTTACTACTTGAATCGTTTTTTTTTTTACGTTTTCAAATACCAATCTCGTTTTGCCTTAGTGATTCTTTATTCAACTATGCAGCAAACAACGATTGCGAATACTGCCAAATCGAGAATTTTCTAATGATACGTAGATGAACTCATGGCAAAAGCCTTTTGGAATGAAATTTTACGAAAATTGCTTCAGAATACTTCGATTTTAATGAAAGCTGCTTTAATGCTGCGCATACCAAGTTTTCGTGTGCTGTTTTAGATTCGAAGTCAATCAGGGTAAGTTTTCAGCATTCTTACCTGATGGGCCTCTTCTGATGTAGGTCAACGAAACGTAGTCTAAATGTAAGTGTAATTTGTTGTGACACTGCATGATATATGATGGAGGCTTACGAATGGGCGAGCTATAGAGCAGCGCGTATTTATTGTCACTTCGGACTTGTGTCAACAGCCCAGCACATTCATGCTTGTTTGGTCATTGCATGCTTGGTCATTGCATAATATTGGTCATGTTTTTGTGAAATGGTTGATGCCTTGATACCAAAAAAAAACTAGCTCAAGAAAAAAAGTAATTGAGAGTAGCCTTTTATCTAGCATGCTGCACAGCTCCTACATAAATTCTGCTTTGCCGTTCTTATTAATGGCTTCCTGAACAAACACGTTGATTTACAGTTATGTTAACTTGATAATCAATGAATATTTTATAAAATTTGCCCGTTTCAGTCTATGTTCATTTACATTAGGGGCTTTGTTTTACTATAAAAAGGTAGCATTTATGAGGAAGTGGCTGGTATGGCTGGCTTTTCCTACCTTTAAAAGAAAACTGCTGCTTTCTGCAGCAGCGTCACTCTGAGATTAACCCGTCAACAAGAAGCCTTTGCAAACTTTAGGGCGTTTCGTTTTGGCCGTTTCTTGCATTGCATGAATTCGAAAAAATAGTAGACTTAAAAATGGAATTCAGGTGCTTGAATAAACGCTCTCAGAGGTTCCCTCCAGCCTTGACTTTAATTATTCTCGCCAAGAATGGTGTAACAGAGACCATGACTTTGCATTTTCGTACATCACTTGCATGAAAGCACCTTCAGGGCCTAGAACTGCACTCGTGTTCACTTATCCTGGAGTAAACGCTATAACCAGTTAGCCAACCACGTCTCCTTAATTTAAATGTGTCGTTACATTATATTTTTGTATGCAGGTATGGAATGGCTAGGTAATGTCGCTCGTACGGCATAGCGGCAACAGCTTTTCCCCCGGTATTCTGCCTATATCGCTGTGGGACTACGACGTACGTGTGGGAGTCCAGTCGGGTAACTTAGCCTCCTATGCTGAGGAATAAGTATCCTCGTATTGTACAAACAAATATGCCCATAACTGGTGCAATTGCTTGACTAACCATATTATTCATTATGTTTCGTTATGGTTGTGCACGTTATGATAAAGGAAGTTTCCCACACAAAAAATAGGTGCAGTATATTCAATATTGCAATGTGGAAATAGTTTATTTATATAGAAAAATATCTGCTTTCACGTGTGAGCTTTTGTAAGTTTTTTACACAAACAAATAACTGCATCTGCTGACATGTACATGAAGAAATCGTGTAATGCATCTAAAGTACTAGCTACGCTTTTTATTGATATTTCACCTCAAGGTTAAAGCTGACTTTCTGGGATCGCATACAAAACGAGTTTCTGAAACCTTTAAAATATTATCCATATTTACATCTACATGGTATGTATAAATATATAAGATCAGTTGTACCCATGAAGTCTTGCCTATCACTTAAACTCCTGGATGAATGCCTGATATGGGTACGAAATAACGGTATATGATGATCAAGCAGACTCGTTTCCTCCTCCATGCACCTGTGTCCCACTTCATTCAAAACTGATAAATGAAAAAAATTCTGCTATAACAACCTTATCCTTTTTATATAGGAAGTTTAAGGCACCGTATGATTCACATATGTACACAAATCCAAACGTGCTGCTCCAAACTCTGCGGGTGAAAAGTCAGTACCGTGGTTATTTCTCGGGTGGTACCTTCATCTATTGAAGAGAGGACAAACATATAGTCTCGATGTCAAAAGCACGTTTTTGTGTCGAAAGAATGCTCATGGTATATGCACTCACTGGCTAACGCCCATGATACCATTTTAATGATTCCGCCACTATAAAAATTCAGAAAGTTCAACCATGATGGAACTTGTACACTATTCAAATATACAATAGCTTGCACCTGACGCCTGCAATAAATTCGAAACATTGGAAGTTCATACTTTGATTCAACATTCTACAACTTTGCGCCAAAAACCGCCGCGCGGCAGAAATTTCAGGTTGATGCTATGACTACTTTTTGGCTATCTTTTGAGCCTCTTTTGTTTTGGCGTATTAAGTAGCCAACTATTTTTATATGACAGGGATGCATCGCAACTCATGCTTACCGAATCAGAAAAGGAGAGCAGAAAGGTAGGTCTCAAAATCATTCTGCGGAAAACGAAAATAGTGTACAAGAACCTCGGAAGAGAACAGCGCTTCGAGATAGGTAATAGTGCACTTGAAGTAGTAAAAGACTACGTCTGCAGGTAATAACCGCGAAGCCGGACCACGTTATTGAAGTAACTAGAATGAGGATAGAGTGGAGCACACTCAGCAAGCACTCTCAAATCATGACTGGTAGATTACCACTATTCCTTAAGAAGATGGTATATAACAGCTGCATCTTGCCGGTACTTTCCTACGGAGCGGAAACCTGGGTCCTTACAAAGAGTGTGCAGCTTCAATTGTTGATAACGCAGCGAACGATGGAAAGTAAAACCGTTGGTGTAACCTTAAAAGACAAGAAGAGAGCAGAGTTCATCAGAGAACAAGCCGGGGTTAAGGATAACGTAGTTGAAAACAAGAAGAAATGGACATGGGCCGGGCATGTAGCACGTAGGCAGGATAACCACTGTTCATTTAGGGTAACTGACTGGATTACTAGTGAAGGCAAGCGGGTTAGGGGGACACAAAAAGTTAGGTGGGCAGATGAGATTTGGAAGTTAGGGGGTGTAAATTTGCAGTAGAAAGCACAGGCCTGAGTTGACTGGCGGAACATGGGAAAGGCCTTTGTCGTGCAATGAACGTAGTCCGGCTGATCATGACAATGGTATTTTTATATTCAGTGAAAACAATTCAATACTCTTTCCTCGGCTTTTTGTGTCGTGCCAACCACTGCACGAGGCATCCTTTCCTACTCTAGCAGGCTAGTGAACGTCGACGCAATCCAAAGCAACATGCAGTTTTCTGATTAGCTAGATGTAAAGAACTAAATGCTTTAGGTCTCCTTTGTCTGTGACGTTCCAGCGAGTGCAAGGAGCCAGAGCCGTTATCTGTGCAGTCAAACGACAACATCAAGGAAACCAGTCAAATGGGAGAAAACCAAGCCTATGGCCTTAGCACTGCGTCCAGTATCCCAAAACATACCCGATACCCTAAAGAAGCAATTTAGAAAAATATTGCTGCAGAGTCCTAATGTTTGTTCGAAATATCAAAGTACTTGTAACTTC